GAGAGAGAGAGAGAGAGAGAGAGAGAGAGAGAGAGAGAGAGAGAGAGAGAGAGATGAGGGACTGAATAATCATTGCAGTGGGTGGTGTTCTCGCATTCATGGAATTTAAGGCGCTTGTTCGCATAACCTATCAGGTGCGTCTGATTGCAGCAGGATGCAAATTCATGACCTGTCTATGAACAGTGACATGTGTTTGCCATTCAGTCACATAGACTGGGTTAGTTGTTTTCCCTGTTCCGCTGCCTGAGACAACATAATGAGAAGTGCTATGCTGCCCTGGTTGCTGAGCTGAGATGCATTTGACATCGTGCAGATCTTTGTGTCTCTTCTTCTCTGTGCATTTTTTTTTGTGCATGTTTTGTCAGTAGACCTCTGAAGTTCTCTTTTGGTGTGTGTGCGGTCGTCGCTCGATGAATCGACCGCCCTCGCTATTGACATCGAGCATGAATTATCAGGTGCTCTTTCGGTTGTGTTGCTATGCTAGATGTTCAATCTCAGATAATCAATCTTGCAACTGTGGTGCTTTTCGATTGGCAGGAGAGGATGCCCGACAAGATGGTGCTGGGCCGCAACCACCTGCCCCGGGAAGCAGATCAAAGGCGTGCACAAAGTTTTTCAGGTAACGACTGTTGGCATTTTTCTGTTGAGGACGCAATCCCGTGGTCGTTCATCTATTTGTGATTTTTTCAGAGAGGGGGTGAGTGTGATAGGTGCGCAATGATTGGACGGCAGGCGGTGTGGAGAATTGTGCTGCCCTGGCAGTCCCTCACGATCTACGTGCCGACACCTCCCGATTGTCTTTGTCTTGACTAGAAAAGGGTTAGGGTATAAATACACATACCCCTACAATCTTCTGCACAAATGGATCATGGGGTCATCGTCTATGCTGTATCTGACCTGGATTATCCCCTAAGTTCAGATGTAACTGTCCTGTTGTTTACGATCAGTGTGGAAGCTCCTGTCACCAGTGCACACTGCAACAAACTGTTTGGTGCATGGTTTGCACCGGAAAAGAATCGCTGGCATGTATGGCTTTCCTTCTTTTCCCGAATAAAACCCACAGTTGGAGTCTTCTGCCATATATGCCTAGCATCACTCTCAAGTACAGCTATGATGACTGCCTGTTCTGTTTTGGTGAACATGGTAGCGATTGTATATCGTGTTCATGACAAGGACCTTTGCTGGCTTTCTCCGAGCTCCCCCGTCGGTAGGACTCGGTCTGGACGACTCTGTGGCTGTGAATGTGTTAACGCCTGTCAGAAGCACTACGATGAGATGGCCCATGGAGCAGTGGCAGAGCCAGCTGCAACTCTCTCCTTCAGTGTGTGTGCCCTTGCTCCCTTGCCTATCAAAGTTTGATTTGCCGCCAGGCATTGTCCGTGTGGTGGTCATATCTGATACCCCGCACCCTCCTTTGTTCTTGCCGGCATCCGCTGTGCCATTTGTCTAGCTGCGATGACGCGAGCATTTGGCCTCATGTACCGCCAGATACATCCAGGGAAGTCCCAGGGCAAGTCCCGCCCTTTTGTACTCATTATGGTGGTGCAAATCTGCTTCTGGTAAGCAGGCAGGTGAGCGGCTGCATGAAGCTGGGAACTCTGCACCCGGTGGAGAAGGGGGAAAAAATGAAAACTCAAATGAAGTGTAGTTTGTTGCTATCATTGCTTTTCTGTTATCCACTGTGTTTTCTTTTATCCAAACGGAAACATTCAATCATCACTTCGTAACATGGACGACGACGGATGACCTGTTTACTTTGGCCATGTCTGGGGTGATCAAAACATGCGACTCTGTGTGTGTGTGTGTCTCAGAGAGAGAGAGGTAGATAGATAGATAGATAGATAGATAGATAGATAGAGAGAGAGAGAGAGAGAGAGAGAGAGAGAGAGAGAGAGAGAGAGAGAGAGAGAGAGAGAGAGAGAGAGAGAGAGAGAGAGATCATATCTGGGTGTGAGTGTGTGTGAGTGTGTGTGCATGTGTGTTGTGTGTGTGTGTGTGTGTGTGTGTGTGTGTGTGTGTGGATACGGATACATTCTTCTGAAACTCCCAAGGTATGTAGTGTGCTAGTACATGAAAGCGAGCCAATCGTCTAATAGGCTCACAAATTGGATCAGTGGTCAAACGTGTTGCCTTGCAGAGTTTTGAAGATTGGTGCCTTTTCTCGGTCCTGTGCTTTGTGAAGTGACCAACTGTTTGCGTTTTCTGTTTGTGTGCAGCACCTCTGGCTGTCCTTACGGTGAGAATTGTCATTTCTTGCATTATGTCCCTGGCGGGATCAGTGCAATAGCTCATGCTCTTGCAGCTGCTCAAAATGGCCAAGCGTCTGGCATTATGGATGCAGGAGTGAATCTTGGTGGGTATAAGGCGCGATTGTGCAACAGGTATCGCGAGCCTGGGGGTTGCCGCTTCGGTGACAAGTGCCACTTTGCTCATGGAGAACATGAGTTGCAGCCGGATCCCGCAGGAGGAGGGGACTTGCAACAAGGTGGGGCTGGGCAAATTGGTCGTGGCGGGTCTGGGTCTGCAGTCAGCGGGCAGTTTGGAGGCATGGTGGGTGTAGGGAGGGAGAATGGAAGAGGAGGACTTTTTCCTCCCGGCACGGGGCCAGAGATGAGTGCATCTATGTCAGCTGCTGCTTCGTTCGGTCAATCGACAACCACGAAGATCAGCATCGATGCAAACCTGGTTGGGGCCATCATTGGGAAGGCTGGTGCCAATGTCAAGCAAATATGCAAGCTGACGGGGGCGAAGGTGTCTATACGTGACCACGAATCTGAAACGAACCTTCGGAACGTGGAAATGGAGGGGTCACTAGAGCAAATTGAAAAAGCGTCAAACATGGTGCGGCAGTTTTTGATGCAGAGGGATCTTACGCCTTCAAAGCCTCCAGGGCTGGGCCCCCATAACTACAAGACAAAGATGTGCGAAAACTACCCGGGCGGCACCTGTACCTTCGGCGATCGGTGTCACTTTGCTCATGGTGCCCACGAGCTGAAAGATCCCCCACCTGATGTGGGAGCTGGAGGTGGTATGGTGGGCAGGTCTTTGTCGAGACCAAGAGGGATGGTCATCTAGGTGTACCCTTGTGCGGTAGAGGAGACGGTTACAGGCGAGGTTAGAACGGCGTTTAGTAGGGAGTTTTTAGGGGTGTATGTTATAGCTTGATGCTGATGTAGTCGGGGGGCTCGGAGTATAGTAGGGAGTTTTTAGGGGTGTATGTTATAGCTTGATGATGATGTAGTCGGGGGGCTCGGAGTATGACAGCTAGCGTAGTGGAGATGTAGGGATCTACTCCGTTCAGCGGGCTGTTTAGTCTAGCTTCTCATCAGACTTTGCCTGGGCAGAGGACCTTGCACGCTTGCATTCCGACGCTGTTCCCTTTCTTGATGCAAGCTACGTTGCTAGTTTGTGGGTGGTAAATGGGAGGTGGTGGGGATGGGGGTGGATGTTCATGCTGTAGAGCCCGATTGCCGTGCACGATGAAGACTATTGTATGGATGGAAGCTGCCCTCATGGTTATGGCGGGTGTGACCATGGCGTCGCGTGGATGGGAGCTACTCTCCTTGTGGTTATCGGGGGTGTGACGATCTCGAATGCGATTGCAGTCACTGGAAGTAACTTCAAGTAAGGTGTCCGCTTCATGCAGTAGCACTCGTATGGTCTGAATGTCGAGGCCCTGGCATCGGTGACAGGGATGCGATCTGGACAGGCTGAGGATGTGCTCGCCGCGGGAAACTGCTACTCACGGGCAGGCAAGTCGGCTTCTGGGTCTATTGAAGTGGTAAGACGTGCCGGACAATTGGAATGGTATCTGATGTGCTGAGCTCTTCGAAGGCACCGGGTCTTGCGGGTAAGTATTGTTGCTTCTGATCAAGAAGAGAAGCTGATGTAATCTGAAGAAGAAGACGTTCATCTGTGGATGCGTAAATCTACAGAAGAAGCGAAGCGAAGCGAACTGAAGAAAGACGGCTGTGCAGGATGGTCGGCGAAGGGCTTGCTTGACCCCTTGCTCTCCCTTCCCTATTACACCAATCCCTACCACCCCCTTTCTTCTTTCCCCTGCCTTCCCCC